TATTCAACAACTTTTTTTGCTGTGTACCTTCAGCAAAGGTCGTTTAAGGTATCGTTGAATGGTTGTCTTTCAGACACGTTTTCCATCCCAGCAGGAGTGCGGCAAGGCAGTCTGCTGGGCCCCTTGCTTTACAGCATTTATACTTCCGACATTCCTCCCCTTGGAGACGGTTGCGTGTTCTTCCTGTTCGCAGATGATACCGCAATAGCCGTCAAAGGAAGGATGCCTCGCGAAATAACGAACAAACTTCAACGATGCCTTAGCGCCTTTGCTGATTATGCCACCACGTGGAAAATTAAAATCAATCCCTCCAAAACACAAGCGATCAATCGCCCAAACTGAAACCGGCTCCATCTTGTACTGTAATCATGGATGGCACAAGGGTTGAGTGGTCCGCCGAAGTAACCTATCTCGGGATGTTGATCGATGAAAAGCTCCTCTTCCGTTCGCATGTAGAGAAAACTGTAGTCAAGTGTTCTACCTTGGTTAGGTGTCTGTATCCGCTGATTTGCCGCAGATCCCGCCTCTCAAGGGTGAACAAACTGGCCGTCTACAAACAAATCATAGCACCTGCGATCCTCTACGCAGCTCCGGTGTGGGAATCATGTGCACAGACTCACAGGAACAAAATTCAGGTCGCTCAGAATAGTGTGCTGAGGATGGTTCTTGATCGTCCTTTCGATACTAGAATAACAAATTTACATGAAGAGGCAGGCATTGCCAAAATAGATTCCAAAATTAACGAAATTAAGACTAAATTTGCAAAAAAATGTAATTTATCAGAACATGCTTTAATAAGCAATTTGTATATAGTAAATTAGATGTATATAGTAGTTGTAGGATAGTTGTAGTTGTAAATAGTAGTTATAAGTAGTCTAATTTTTTTCATATTTAAAACAAACCAATTCCACCAAGGTGGTCATTCTTAAAACAGGCCTGATAGGACTAGGAACTGTAATTAATAATAATTGAAATTTCAAAATAACTAAGGTTGAAAAGACGCATCTGTGTCACTTGAAAAGTAATACATGTAAACCACACAAATACAAGAAATAAAGATCATCTAAAGTCTCTCCGCCAATCAGTTCAGTCCAACTTTACTGAGACTTGCTCTCCAGCATACTGATTCAGCTCTTGCAAGGTCGCCGGCTGCTGGATGTCCTAGCCAAGGTGACTGCATATAGGTGTTCTAATGTGTCAAATTCATGATTCAGCCATGTTGGATTTTTGTATGGGACAGCGACCGAGTTTGTTTACAATTTGCTCTAAAACCGCACTTTTCCCCCCCGCGACCTCCTCGCCTATATAGTGACAAAGCTGTATCACCATTTATATACCCACCATGGTCCTAGCAGCAGCTTTATAAGCCAAAGTAGCTCCTCGTTTGCCTCTGCAACTGCAAGTGCAACATATTCCGCTTCGGTCGAAGACAAGGTTGCACATTCTTGCGTCCGGGCTTTCCAACTACTTGTTTCTTCGCCAAGCTTGAACAGAAATCCTGAATTGGACTTCCTATCCACGTGATCGCCTGATCAATCAGCATCAGCGTAGCCTTCCAGACTACCACTTCCGCCTAGTTTCAACTTCAGTCCAGCGATGCCCTTCAAATATTGCAATGCTCGTTTCCGTCCAGTCGTTATCGGTAGGTTTGCTGACTCTCCAAGAATGGATGCCATAATTGCCAGATCAAGCGACGTAGAGCAAAACACCCACCAAACTCTGATACTTCTCGGTGGTGGCCAACAAATTCTCCTCCTTTTGCTCTGCAGTGACGTATTCCGATTCCATTGGTGGAAACTAACGATTTTAAATTGGCTCTCTCCTTGATTAGCCTATTGGTTCCAAGCAAATCGATTAACGTACCCCGTTCTAGTCAAAATTCTAGTACTACACTATGTTTGTTTTGATTCGCTATGAAAGTTTGACAGATAAAATGAGGGGTTCGTGGATTTTCCTATGTTTCGAGGGGTGCATCGATTAGCTTGGGACCGAAGAGAGTTGCAGAGCTGAGCCAAAAAGTTGTGCACGTTTCTTCGGGACCTTCTGGTCTTAAAGTTACCTCTACGGAACTACTTCAGTCTAATCGCCCATTTTGGGCCTATCGAGCAGACAACAAATAAATCCATGATTTCAGAGTTAACAAGTCAATTATGCGTTTGGTACGATACTTTAGTTAACAAACTACCGAACGAAGTCAATGAGAACGCGTGATATTAAGGTTTTCACCCACTATTTTCAAAAACAAAAGAAGCGCTCCAACCGAATAAATTTTTATCTTCATCCGATAGGCCGAAGTGAATTCATTGGCGTTTCAATGCGTTAGGCCGAGTCTAGAATCCGTAGACCGAGTTTGGCGTCAAGAAGCAGTGTTAGACTTTTGACAATATCTCAACGATTGGTTTCTCTTTATCGAATCTTACGGTACGTGCGGAAAGGTAAATAAATTAGGAAGCCATCAGTAATAATAACATTCCGTTTGGTGCTAAACTGCGCTAGATTAAGGCTAAGTGCGGGTTGTGCTTGATAGGCCGGAAATGGGGTAGTTAACCCTACGTGTCTCCAGTTTGTTGCCTTGGGCCCCTTATCATTTTCAAGAACTAACTACTAAATTGACCTGAAAAAGAACTGGCATCACTGATAAGTTAGAAATGTGGCGGCTTGCTTAACGCTTCAGTGGCGACACCATGACAAATGCTAGTACATTCCCAACTAAAACCTTATTTGCGAAGAATGTAATTATGAGTGTTATGTCTATTTGTCTGTGGTAGTACCATATTACTAGCATTTGGCCCACTAAGGCCTGTACTTGAAAAAAATGCACCAGACAAAAGTGTTCGCCAAAAATTTATTTTAAGTAGGATTTTCTTGAAACTTTCAGGGAATGAACTAATACATATGGATTATGTTTCGTTTCGGCATAATTACTTTATTCAATTTCCTTTCCCTCGCTGAAAGCCCGCACCTTTCCCTTAAGACCCCTCATTACATTTTGTGCAATGATGGAACCGACCTTTTTGGTCACTTTCATCCATTCTTTCTTCAACTCCAGCTCGTTCTTAAACACCTTGGACGATTTTCGAACTTTGGCCTTCATTATGGCCCAAAATCTTTCCACCGGACGAATCTTTGGTGAATTTGGGGGGTTGGCGGATTTTTGGTACAAAAACAAAGTTATTGTCTCTGTACCAATCGAACGTCGATCGCCCGTAATGGCATGATGCCAGGTCCGGTCAAAATAATGTCTCGCCTCCGTGGGACCGCAGGAAGGGCAACAGACGCTTCTGGAGGCACTAGGTGCGGTAAATTTCGCTGTTGATGGTACCCATTGTGATGTACGGTTTACTCTGCCATATGTTTACATATGGCCTGCCAGAGCAAGTATTTTTTGGCGAATTTGTCCACTTTCTTTTTCTATATGTCTTCCGGAACATCAAACCGTGATTTGGCAAGGTAGAACTCCAGCCCCGGTATCTGCTTTGCGTCTGCCTTGATGTAGGTTTCGTCATCCATAACCACACACATCGGTTTCGTTAACCACTCTCGATACAGCTTCCTTACGCGGGATTTGGCCGCCGTGTTTTGTTGATCACGCCGGTTCGGTGCCTTCCGGACCTTGAATACACGAAGCCCAGCTCGTTTCTTGGTTTGCTGAACGAACCAGGCGGAACACTTTGCCTTCAGAGCCGCGTCCCGAATCGAAAGGTTCGGATTACGCTTGAAATAATCCAACACCTTCCGGGCCTTCACAGGGTCAGCTGTCTTCGATTTTCTTCCACTTCCAGGCCGCCACTCGGTCGTCTGGGACTCCTTAAACGATTTTACCACCCGAGACACAGTTGTATGGGTGATTCCCAGTTGTTTTCCGATCCATCTCATGGTCGCAGTCGGATTTTCCATGACGGCGCGCAAAATTCTCCGGCGATTTTCTTCTTGTTTCGATGACATCTCAATAACCACTGAACCGATTGCTATGAAATTTTGCACATGTAAACAATTCACTCCAAACTGGTTATACCCAGATTTTCATCAATTTTTACCCACGGATAAAAAGTTACACACGGATAAAAATTGTGCTTTTTTTTCGAGTACAAGCCTTATGAGCCTTCACCTATTTTGCTGGAAATGTATACAGGTGCTTTTAAAAATACGAATAGAGGTAATCTACATGAAAGCATGAATCTTACTGGAGTTGGACTCGCTTCGGGACATAGAAAAAAAACCCTTTTAACTAGAAGATCGTCACTCATTCAACGTGTTGTTGTTGTTGTACTAGGCACCAACGTATTTCTCGAATGTGATTCGTCTTATCACGACCAGTACAACACATATCCATCCAATCATTGTCAGTCATCTCCCGCTATTTGCCTGTCAATATGCTGTCAACTGAATAGAGATTGAGTTTTGGAAAAACACCATTCGCACTCACCTAGATGGGCTCTTACGTACATTTTTTTTTATCTTGATGATTCGTTCATTCAAATGGTAGGTACGCGCAAAATTCCAGTGAAGTGCGCGAAAGGCTTATCCAACGAGGCTTATCATGCTTGTGATGAACGATCCACATTGCTTTGTTTGAATTCATGTGACATGTGTTCTGGTTTGGTCGTCAAATAATCGTTCCGGTCACTTGAGGTCCCAAGTCCAATCAGCCACAGCCTAGGCCACACAGCATGATTCAGATTCAGAGACCAAATATTGTTTTCCTTAAAACTCTTTTTCGAAGTTAATCTCAAATTGTAGAACTACTCACTGAGAAAATCCAAGATTCTAGATAATAAATTAACAAAGCGGTGCCATACAAACTTATCGCTGTAACGTACACATAGGGGACTAGTAGGTACTCTAGAGCGCGCTTTGAGTCACCACTGACTCACTAAATACTTATTATCATCGCCAAAACAAATGTGTTGGCGCGAGAGCATTTGACTGTGATATACGGCGTACCAGAGGCAGTCGGTCTTTCAGTATACGACCAACCGCGAAACGGGTGCGACATTTGAGTTCCTTCGCGCTAACAGCAGGTGCCTATCGATAAATCGTTTTTTTTCCCTTAAATTTTCTACGGTAGCTTCCCACTACTGGAAGTACGACAGCGATAAGACTGTTCGATCGTCTCCTGGAGATTGAAGATCTTCGGATGTAGGGGGTCTGCTCGACGTTCGATTGTTGTTACACATGGGCAAATAGGCTACTGCGCTTAAGTTCCGGCCGCGGGCAAGAAAGTGCTTCGATTCCAACATTTCAAGTATCGACGGGATCGATTGTGCAAACCCATGATAGAGGCCCAGGGCTGCTTATCGTCGTTCCAATGAAGGCGCGAGGGGGGTTTGGAATGGAACGTTATCAGTGCTAGTGTCGTGTATGTTTTCTTCCATTTCTTCGTTGCAGCCTCGAGTTTGGGGTTGATGTGTGTTGTGCTTTAGTTGGTGCTCTTGTTTTACGCGAAAATGACGCTAGTGACGGTACGAGTGATTACAAGCCGATAACGGGACACCGATGATGGATTAGTTTAATTGGAAAAGTGCAACCAATACGAAAGGTCGGAAGTGGAAATGTATGTTCTAGAACATTTGGCGGTGATTGCAGGACGCGGTTTTTGATTGGATGCGAATCGTATGCATAACATCCTGTTCGTCACATCTGGAGCGTCACAGTCCATGAATTGGAATCGCCCGGAGATCGGTTCTCCTAGAATCTATAAAGAACACGTAGTGATAACGGATGAGTCAAAACGGATGCTGCAAATGCAACGCAAAACATGCGACTCACTTTAGTGCGTGAGACCTAGAGACATCCTAAGTTGTCACTCATTTATCAGCACTAGCGTGCACAGGAATCTTGTTAAGGAGGGGCAATTTTTTATATGGTGCATTTAATCTGGCGATGGGGAGTACTCCAAAGTATGTGGTGGTCCACCTCCCACTATTTCCCTACTGTTCAATTTAGCTAATTTTATTTATTTTTTGCTCCGGTGGTTCATCCTCTTTAACGCAAACTGCTTTGAAGCATCCAATGCAAATTTGCAATATAATCCCATCGACGATGTCGATGATGATCGGTTCGTCAAATGGTTGCGAGATTAGGGCTTTAACCGAAATTATATATTTGCTGCAATGTTGTTGCCTTGGTGGTTGGATTCATCTGAAGTCACGTCAGATGGTAGTGATAGCACCGACAAACCGACATGAATGACCAATTAGAATCGCATTCTCCTTTCGCATGCACACTGCGTCGACAAGTACAAGGTTCAAACAGTGCGCATAGCAGTGAACAAACAGTATATTGCTCTTGATCAATCCAATCTTGATCGGTGGTGTTGAGTACTTGGCACTGATGAAGTCTTCAAAAAGTAGATGAAATACGCGTATCTGTCAAAAGATAAGCAATTATATCGGAATTAAAAGGAAATAAACCAACACACTCAAAGCTCTTCATAAAAGTATATGGTTGTTTTTGTCCTTGCACTTGGCTTGTACTCCAGCAGTGCTGCCAGCCATTGTGCTGGCACCGTCAAAACATACTGCCATCTCCTGCTCCCAAGAAATCTGCATCGCTGTCAGAACCTCAGCAATGGTATTGAAGATGGTCGTCGCACCTGTTTTCAACACCCGTCTCACACCCACGAATGTTTCCGTCGGCCGATCATTATCAATATACGGGAAATGGATGTAATGTCGGTCTAAATGCCCCTAATTTGGGCCCATAGATAAATTCAGCAATCGACAAAATTTTCAATAGCGACCAAAAATATCCATTAGTACCGTCCGTTGTGACGGGTAAAGCAGGTGCATAAGAATGCCTATCAATGGTTGTTGGGTTCTGCCCTGACCGGCGGTTTGCGATCTCTGTGCACCTGAACTCCGATTCTTATCTCCACGCGGTGCCCGGTGGGGTTGCTGGCGGTGATATTTGCCGTCAGTAATGCGAACAAGAACGGGGGATCATCGTTGTCACCAATGCACTATTGTTAATAAATCGGTAGTGCCCGTGATGACGATGACAGAGCAAAAAGGTTATAGCCAACTCTAAGTAGCCTGTGATTATCGCTACCTGGGGATGCTAACCGGCTGGGTCTGGTTACGACTTGGCCGTCCTGAATGAACTTTTTTCCTCCTCCTCAAGGTGGTTCGTTTAAAAGGACGTTAATAAATGGACGCATTCATCTAGATAAAATTAATAAATAGCAGTCTTATACCCACTTTTCAATTAGGGAATCCAAAAGCATCTTCAACCTTTGTACAGTTGCGAAAAAGTCCATCCTCAGAATATCGTGAAGTTCTTTTCGAAATTTTTAGAACTCAATGAGCTCTTTTGAAATTATTCTTTTATTATAATTTGAATTTTTTGAACTCCTCTTGACTTTTACTCAGAAAATTTTGGAACTAAAATTCCCTTAGAGTTTCAGAAGAATTTCCTCAGTATTGTCCAGAAATTATTCTCAGAATGAACTAGAAATTGTCGGTACTCCGTTGAAATTTTTCTCAAAATCCTTTTGGAATTTTACTCAAAATCTATTTTTTCTCGGTATTCTTTTTGGAATTATCTTGGAACTATCTGGAGGATTCACTAGAAATTATTCGCAGAATTTTCTTGGAATACTCCCCAGAAATCCTTTGGAACTGTCCTCAGAATTAAATATCCTTAAGGTTTTTCTCTGATTTTTTTAGAACTCTCCTAAGAGCTCTTTTGAAATTCTTTTCAGAAGTCCATTGGAATTATATTTAGAACTCTTCATGTTTTTTTTCTCAAAACACCTTAAAACTGAAATTCGCTTAGAGTTTCAGAAATTTTTCCCGGAATGAGCTTGAGATCATCCTCGGAATTCGCTTTAAATTTTGAGTAAAATCCCTTTGGAATTTCACTCCAAATTTGATTTTCCGGTATTCTTTTCGAAATTATCTTGGAACTATCTGCAGGTTGCACTACCAATTATCCGCAGAATTTTCTTTGAACTCTGACCAGAAATATTTTAGAACTGTCCTATGAATTCAATATCCTTGAGGTTCTTCTCGGAATATTTTAGATCTTTTTTTCTCAGAACACCTTGGAACAGAAATTCCCCTAAAGTTTCAGAAGAATTTCCTCTGTATTCTCCAGAAATTCTTTCCGAAATGAGCTTGAAATTATCCTCGGAATTTTCTTGAATTTTTCCCCAACATACCTTTGTAATTTCATTCAAAATTTGATTCTCTCGGTATTCTTTTCGAAATTAACTTGGAACTATCTGCAAGATTCACTAGAAATCATTCGCAGAATTTTCATGGAATCATCCCCAGAAATCTTTTCTTTTGGAACAATCCTCAGAATTTAATACCCTTGAAGTTCTTATCGGAAGTAAAGTGTAATTTGTCCGTCCATCCACCAAAACGTTGTAGTTTTTCTATCAGAAATGTTCAATAAAGCTTGCCCCTCCATTCACCAGAACTGTGTAATTTTTACATCAGGAATTTTCAATTCAGCTTGACCCTCCATGCACCAGATTGTTGCAAATCTTACACCAGAAATTTTAAATACAAACTCACCTCCAGAAAATTTTACACCTGAAAATTTCAATTGATCAGAATGATGCAAATTGTCCACCGTTAATGTTCAATAAAAATCTTCTGAATGGTGCAGATTTCCTTTTTTTTCATTTTCCACCAGTAATTTCCAATATAGCTTGCTTCTCCTATCATCAGAATGTTGCAGGTTTTCCACCAAATAAAGCTTGCCCCTATTTTCAGATTTTTTATCATAAATTTTCAGTAAAGCAGCTTCCCTACAATCATCAGAATGGTGCAAATTTTACACCAGATATTTTCAAAATAGCTTAATTTTAAATAAAGCTTGTGCCTTCATTTACCAGACCAGTGCAAGTTTTCCACCAGAAATTTTCAGTTCATTTAATTTATCAGAGCGATGTAAATTTTGCACCAGAATTTTTCAATAAATCAAGCTCCTCCATTCATCAAAATGGTGCACCAAAAATTGTCAGTGATGTTTGTTTCACCATGCACCTTTGTGGGTCAATTTTCAGGCTTTACCTTTTCATGCACCATAATGGTGGAAATTTTCAACCATAAATTTTCAATGAAGCTTACATTCATCAGAACGATGCAAATTATGCACCAGAAAAATGAATAAACCTTGCTTCTACATTTACCATAGTGTAGCGAACTTTCCACCAGAAATTTTCAGTTAAATGTGCAGCTCCAGATTTTTAGCGTGATTCAATTATTTAATTATGATTAGTCATGCATTTTGATTAGTCTCTCCATGTTATTCAATTTGATTAGCCCCTCCATGCACCACCTTGATGATATTTTTACACCAGAAATATTCAATAAAAAGCTTTTTCTTTCATTTACCACCACGAAGTTAAATTTTTTCAACCTTAAATTTGCCCGCTTGTTTTAATTCTCCATGAGCCACCTTTGAAAAAAAAAATTACACCTGAACTTTTTGGTATGCACCGGTGACATTTTTTGACCAAAAAATTTCATTGAAGTTTGTCCCTTCATGCCCTTTTTGTTAAGCCGTTGTGCATGTCATCAGAAATGGTACGCCCTTTGCTAAGCCTTTTCGCAACGTCAGATAAATCCGATAAATTCAAAACAAAATTTGTACTCATCGGCCCTGCCTCACGCAGTATAGGGCCTAGCTTTGGTTTGAAATTTTTCAAACATCGGCCCTTTTACGTCACTAATCTTATCAATGAAATGAAATAAATGAATGGTTGGCCGCTTTAGCGTGCGGGCCTATTAATGAATCGAAAAATTTCGTTGATCGGCCGTTTCGAAAATCGAGTTATTTTCAATGATTTTTCTCGATTATGCAGAACTTTCCTACACGATTAGTAGCTATCGAGCGGTGCTAAAGAATGGTATCAAAACACGATTTGTTTACGTTTTGGACAAAGGCCCATATCAAATGTTACTCGAGATGTCCCCTTTCACCTTAAGGCAGCGTTGCCAGATATACCGATTTATCGGTATTTATACCGATTTCCAAACTAGATACCAATATACAGATAAGAATACTG